GACGGCCCTGGTAGTGCATTAGCAGCCTATTCACAATGAATGGTCTGCCTTAAAACAATGCATGTTAATGCATACCATAACTGGCAATAAGAAGTGTGCATTAAAGAAAAGCGATGGAATGATTTCATGAGAATGGGCCCATTCAGAAAAAGCTCAAAGTCACAAACGGACCATCTGAACTCTCAAAATATAAATACTATTATAGCAATATTTTAAAATCAATTTCCTCCCTTGGATACTGACACATACGAAAATGTCCTAACAAGTATACAATATAAAGTGCATCTAACCAAAAAAGAATACAATGTAATTCAGTTTACTTAGTCCTTAGATGTGATGGCTGCGTTAGTCAATTATGTCACTTAGGGGACCCTGCCCCAGTTTTTTTTTTTTCACTGAATTGGTAGGCATTGCAATTGACATGGATCTGCATTGCTAGATACTATCATTGATGATGGATTTACAGCAATTCGTTACAGTGATTGTGAATTCATGGGAATACTATGCACCCCATAATCATTCACTTGGGTGAGGTGGTATCTGGGAGAGCCAATATTGTTAAATAGGGATTCCAGATTTTGATGAGCCACCCACCTGCAAAGCACCACAAGCACTGGCTCATGGCTGTGGGGAAGAGGCTTTTGTACAAATCCACAAACAAATGAAATTGTGGTGCAGACAAATACCAGTACACCATCCACATAAATTAGTCTCGACCTCCTATATAAATGTGAAGATATGCTTGTATATAGCATAGGAAGTTCATAAAAATCGCAGCGTGTTGCACTTCAGTAGGCAGCTCCACCTGAGACAGGAACAAATCTCTGAAATTACAAAAAGGAACATAAGGGGGCACCAGCTAAGTGCAGCATCAAGGGGTGCAGCACTTAGTTGGTGCCCCCTTGTGTTCCTTCTTGTACAAATCGACATGGGGACAAAGTGCTTTGCCAGGGGTGTCTCCCCTGTCAAGGTACCCTCTATGTTGAGGGCATATGGCCTGGTATGGTTCAGGAGGTGCAGACTGCATACTGCATGCTTGTCCTCCCTTTCATAGACAGTCATGCTGCATACTTAGACTAAGAGGCTGGTATGGATTTTTATGGGGATCCTCACGTTTTTTTTTTTTGGTTTTTTTTGCATGAGGTTCCCTTAAAATCAGGCCCAAAAGCTGTGGTATGGATTTACCCCTGAGAGGTTTTACCCCATACAAAAAAAAAGAGGTTAAAAATCCATACCAGATGCACAAAAGGCTCACACACTCACACACACACACAAAAACAACACACAAACACACACACAACCTCTTGTTTTTCCCCACTCCTTTTCTTACATACACTATATTGACAAAAGTATTGGGTCACCCCTCCAAATCATTGGATTCAGGTGTTCCAATCACCTCCATGGACACAGGTGTATAAAATCAAGCACCTAGGCATGCAGACTGCTTCTACAAACATTTGTGAGAAGAATGGATTGCGCTCAGGAGCTCAGTGAATTCAAGCGTGGTACCGTGATAGGTTGCCACCTGTGCAATAAGTCCATCTGTGAAATTTCCTGGCTACTAAATATTCCACCGTCAACTGTTAGTGGTATTATAACAAAGTGGAAGCAACTGGGAACAACAGCAACTCAGCCAAGAAGTGGTAGGCCACGTAAAATAACAGAGCAGAGTCAGCGCACAGCTGCAGCGCACAGTGGTTGCCAACTGTCTGCAGAGTCAATAGCTACAGACCTCCAAACTTTGTGTGGCCTTCAGATTAGCGCAACCGTGTGTAGAGAGCTTCATGGAATGGGTTTCTATGGCCAAGCAGCTGCATCCAAGCCTTACATCACCAAGTGCAATGCAAAGTGTCAGATGCAGTGGTGTAAAGCATGCCACCACTAGACTCTAGAACAGTGGAGACTTGTTCTCTGGAGTGACCAATCATGCTTCTCTGTCTGGCAATCTGATGGACGTTTCTGAGTCTGCCATTTGCCAGGAGAACAGTACTTGCATGACTGCATTATGCCACATGTAAAGTTTGGTGGAGGGGGGATTATGGTGTGGGGTTGTTTTTCAGGGGTTGGGCTTGGCTCCTTAGTTCCAGTGAAGGGAACTCTTAAGGCATCAGCATACCAAAACATTTTGGACAATATCATGCTCCCAACTTTGTGGGAACAGTTTGGGGATGAGCCCTTCCTGTTCCAACAGGACTGCACACCAGTGCTCACAGCAAGGTCCATAAAGACATGGGTGAGCAAGTTTTGGGAGGAACTTACTTGCCAGCACCTCAACCAGATAGAACACCTTTGGGATGAATTAGAGCGGAGAGAGGGATCCAGAGCTTCTCGTCTGACATCTTGTCTGACATCACAAATGCACTTCTATAAGAATGTCAAAATTCCCATAGAAATACTCCAAAACCTTGTGGACAGCCTTCCCAGAAGAGTTGAAAAGGGTGGGCCAGCTCAATATTGAACCCTACGAACTAAGATTGGGATGCCATTAATGTTCTTGTGTGTAAATGCCCCAATGTTCGTGCAGTATAATGTTGTTGGGGATTCCTGGCCATGTAAGTAAATGGGGCTGGCAGCATCACTGGCCATTAGGGACTCAGTGGTACCTGCACCTGCTAGCATCCTTAACCACCATTAACAGTGTGTGGCTGTTATGTAAATAGCAAGAATAACTTCAGCGATTACATATAAGTAAATGTTTGCGCTAATGCCCAAACCACCAAGAAATGCCTATACAGCCATCACTAGGGGGTATGTATTTAGGAAATGTCAACAAGGAGAATACATGAGATCAGAAGTTCTGATATTCAAAAAAACACGAGAGGTGAAAACAAGTATTTTATTTACAAAAAGGACATTGATTATAAACAGTACTTTAACATGTTAAATGGCATTCAGTTTTGAATATATGTACTTTACAGAAGAAGTCTAACTTTGTTATTTTGATGCCTAGGTCCCCTAGGGTAGAAAATGCATATATCACTGTCTAATCTTCCAACATTCTGTACAAGCAGAGATCCAGTGGATGACAGCGCTGACCCCCACAATCCCACCACCCCCCAAATATTTCCACATTTCTAAATAACCTCTGCAACACAGAAAATGTGTCCTTTTTGAGTTCAGTTCAACTTTAAAAGGCAAACTGCAAAGCGTTCGTAGTAACCCAAAGAATCTAATCACATTTTAGTTTTCAATGCTTTGCACATTTGCACTAAATGAAAGCCTGGTAATGTTATATGTGCTTGAAGCCTAAACACCATAGCTTAGCAGCAGTCTCCATGAAAAATATATAAAAAAGTTTACTCCTATGCCAGCTCTGTGGTTTGGCTACACCCATCATGGCTCCATGTTCCATGTGTACTTTCTACCACTGAAGTACTGTCTCAGTTGTACATAATGATGAAGAAGTGCGCTGATAGTCAGTGCAAGAGCAGCAGATTTGAAGACATACTTGTTGGCAAGAAGAGCCTGGTTGGCATCAGTTACTACACAATTCAAAGAGTAGTGGTTAATGATTCATACTCTGAATGGTCTAGGGTCATCAGTGGTGTACCCCAAGGTTCAATGTTGGGACCCTTACTTTTTAATATATTATAAACTATGTAGGGTCTTGGATTAAAAATACCATGTCAGTCTTTGCAGATGACACCAAGCTGTGCAGTGGAATAACGTCTTTATAGGATGTCTCCAATTTACAAGCCAACCTCAATGCTCTGTGTAATTGGGCAACTATGTGGCAAATGAGGTTTAATGTTGATAAATGTAAGGTTCTGTACTTGGGGGCTAAGAATATGCATGCATCATACATACTAGGGGGGTACAACTGGGGGAATCAATGGTGGAGAAGGATCTGGGAGTTCTGGTAGATCACAAGCTTAATAATGGCATGCAATGCCAAGCTGCGGTTTCTAAAGCGAGCAAAATCCTCTCTTGTATTAAAAGAGGTATAGACTCCAGAGAGAGATATCATATAACCCCGGTACAAATTAGTAAGACCTCATCTGGAATATGCAGTTCAGGGGAACACAACAAGTCCTAAAAACACTTTTTACTTTAATGCAGGGAATGCATTAAGGTAAAAAGGTTTTAGCTTTAGAACCAAACACGGAAAGGTTTCTTCACAGTGAGAGCTGTGAAAAAGTGGAATAGACTCCCTCAGTAGGAATGCTTTAAAAAAGGCCTGGATTATTTCCTAGATACACAGAATATAACTGGATACTAACATTTATAGGTAAAGTTGATCCAGGGAATATCTGATTGCCTCACGGGGGATCAGGAAGGAATTTATTTTCCCTACAGGAGCAAATTGGATTGTGCTTTGCTGTTTTTTTGCCTTCCTCTGGATCAACTGTGGGTATAGGATTATAACTTTTTTTATGGTTGAACTGGATGGACTTTTGTCTTTTTTCAGGCAGACTAACTTTGTAACCACTTTAGGTTTGACTGTATAACAACCTATGCAAAAGGCCTGTCACAAGCTCTGCTGGATGCACAGATATATAGGAGGTATACCCTGGCCCCTTATGATGTCTGCTTTAGTTTCCCATAACAGGTTTATAGGTAAGTAAAGCAAATATGAGAACACCATGCTAACAACCTGGGATGCCAACAAAGATAGGTACAAGTGTTAACCATATAGTTTTTTTTACTAGGTTGTTGTTTACCCGACTAGACTCCTACTCCTCTTTTACGGTAGCCCTATTACATTGTAGTAACTGCAAATTTTCAGATACATTCCTGACAGGTCAGAAAATATATGTAAACAGCTGACCATCAGTGTATCAAAAGACCAGATCCTGTATGAATACTTATCACCCTTTAGCATAGTATATAATTATTCACCTACTGTACATGGTTCATTATTTCACATTGTTCAGTTTTACAGCATGTAATTACCAGTCTTGAGATTTCTTTGATTTCCATATAGTAACTACATTTATACGAATCAAAAACAGGTTCTCTTTCTGAAGTGATTAAACCCAGTCCACAATTGTTATTTCACTTTAATTGCGAGGAATTGCGCAGCTTTCATACTTCATTGGAGGGGTTGTGAAGCCAACAGCACCTGTGAGGTCCAGTTTTGCTCCAGGTGGAGCCTGAAAAGTGAAGTTTTGCAGCAGTGTGGTAAAGAAGAGGAACAGTTCCATTTTAGCCAAGTTTTCTCCAGCACAACTTCTCTTACCTCAAAAAAGAAATAAAGTGTAAAATAATAAAATGACCAAGGAAGAATATTGACTTTTACATTTGTAAGAGAACATGTAGGCAGGCGCAGTCTGCTTCCTCCACTGTAGGTGGTACTCGAATGGAGCGGTACTGCAGCTAGAGAGGAAGTCAGAAAAAACCTGGTTTCTCTATTGTTTCCTGGGCCCCTGGGGCAGCGTTCAGCTATGTTGCATCCAGGTGACCCCTGGCAGCCATCTTGGGTCAACACAATTTTATGTCCCTGCTCCCAGGTTTTAATGCAAGTGTACAATCCAAAAGCACACGTTCCTGCATTAAAATGGCTGTGTATAAGTGGGTGCTGCAATGATTGTAGGCTAGAACCAAAACAGAATTAGCAAGGGAGAAATGTCACCAGCACACTGAGAATGACCAATATGGGTCCAAAAATTAATGAAAAATCAAACATTTTTAGCAAGGCAACATTTTGGAGTCTTGCAGGACCCCTTCATCCGGCATAGGCCTGATGAAGGGGTCCTGTGAGACTCTGAAACGTTGCCTTGCTGTAATTATGTGATCGTTCATTAAAACTTTTGGACCCATATTGGTGATCCTCGATGTGCTGGTGACATTCTCCCTTGCTCCCAGGTTTGGGCGCGCATTTGCAAAGTTGATAGTATAGGGAAAGAGCACCTGTCTGACAGCGTCAGGGAGAGGTTTCAGATGAGCAGGGACACGGCCCATGCCACTGGACTGGCCAGGCTGCATTCCACCCTCTGAGACAGATGCTGTCGGTGCATGTGAACCTGATGCATCTCCAACCTGCACATTGAGTGTTTCCTGGCTTGGTGTTCTCCCTCCTAGGCTGTTTGTAAAGTTGGGCCATTCCTTCAATACAAGCTCTTGTTATCTGCAACTAGACTAATTACTGACGCTGCACCTCCCCACAGACATCTTTCCATCTTTGTCTCTCTCAAGGTTCAATTGGGGACACAGTTTGGTTAGCAACATTTGCATGCACCTTTTGCATCTTTTTACCCTTTTAAAAGTAGGGTTCTATCAAAGTCATACACAAACTCCCTCATCGCACCTAATGGGTTCTTTTGCTCCCCCAGCTAATATTTACAGAGCTTTTTCTGTCGTAGGCTTGGTTCATACCTATGCAATTTGCATTTGAAAAAATGCAAAGCACATTGCAGAAACTGATCAACTTGCATTTTTTTCTTGTTGCTAGGCAGATTTGAAACACAAAACACATCAATGGAAATGCTACAGAAAAGCATGTAGTGCATTTTTGCTGCGTTTTTGAAGTCTATAGAATCAAAAATGCAATTTTGTGCGCTCAAGAAAGTCCCTGACCCTTTCCAAAAAAAAAAAATGCGGAGATGTGAACGTGTCCCATAGGAAATTATATTAAAATGGACTGTAGTGCATTTCTGCAAAATGCAAAAATGCTTAGGTGTGAACCTAGGGTTACAGAGCATTTTTGGCTTGTACATTATCCATCTCAGTGTTGAGCCCTGCCCTCAGTTTGCTACATATAGTATATGGCTTTGCTGTACTAAGCCAAGGTTTTGCCCTAAACCTAGCAGCTGACTACTTCTGTCTGTTGCTTGAAGAATATTCCAACATTAGAGTAGGAGGATCAATCACTGGATTATGAATATTTATTGCACCCTAGACAATCCCTGGGAGGCTGAACGAGAAGATGTGGCTGGGCAGGAGATAAACAATTGGGAGGATCTGATCAGAGCTTTCTCTCCTGGAGCTTTCCCCTGGGAGGGAGCTTGTCTATGTTCCAGAGAAGCCACCTCTACTAGGCCTCAGCAGGTGCTATGGGCTTACAGCCTGAAGGAAACTTACTTGTAGAAGCTTGGCATGTGGGAAATATCGCCTGTAAGTAAAGATCAACTTCTGAGATGCAAGAAGTTGCTGCTCAAGGACTATGACTGCTCTCATAGGGTCATAGATTTATTGGTTAAAAATATATGTTTGTGTGACTTGCGAGCCAAACTCAATTTCAAATGGATCGCCAACATTAAAAAACACATAACTTCAACTGTGCACATAAAATATACCCCCTGATGAAGCCACGTGACCTATGGCGTAACACGTAGGGGTGGGGCTACGACATCACGCGGAAGGAAATAGAGTAAACGGCAGACGGCAAGTACATGCCTCGGCGGCTGGCAAAGGCTTTCATATCACTTGAGCGCATTTTAGATGTTTTAAATGTGAGTGTATTACCTGGCTAGTGGGAATAAATCATTTAAAGGATAAAGCACTATGTCTCCACTCTTTTTACATGCGGAGGAACGTATAAAGAGGATCAATAGGTGGTATATTACAGCTGAAGGAGGGATTAATCCCTGCAGGGATAAGCAACCCACACAGGATATCTGTATTAATCCAAAAGGAAGGACCTTACAACTTATCCATATAGGAGTAATTCTGGCAGGTTTCAAGGAAGGGGAACCACAAGTGTGTATAGCCTAATTGTAGGCATTAAAGGAGGTGAGCATACATCTTTACAAATTGGAGGATTCACTGAAAGTCACAAATTGAAGATTGATAATCACTGTCACAAATATTGGACTATATTTGATTGATGGGACTATTATATATATTAAATTGGTTTGATGGTAGAATATATTTTTATATAACCTGGTCACTTATGACTATTGATCCCTTATTATAAATTTAAGGGGTGTCACATTATAGGAAGGATATAATATTTTGATATTGTGTTAAGGAGCGCAACATTTAAAAAGGTATATCGATTTATTGGTTGTCCCCTCTTCTTCAGCATTAATTTTGAGGCTGCTATTAAAAAGGGCCTACCACTGCTGAGAAAAGATACTCAGGAAACTGTCTTTAGATTTGTGTGCCTTGGGTATCCTGCACCCTTAACCCTCCTCCATGCATTTTGACTGAGATTCAGTAAAAATGCACAAATCCGGAATATTGCTGCACTCTATATATGAGGTTTGAGTGTGAGCGCTAAATTTAGCGTGAAACAAGTCACCTTTTTATTGTTCCCGTCATACCTGTGATGTAATTTTAATGTTTCAATAAGGATACAAAGGAGTGCAGCAACATTCTGGATTTTTGCATGTTACTGAATCTCAGACGAGATGTGAGAACCGTTAACTCATCTGGAGTGGCATCATTTTGGCACTTTGACTGAACTAAATCTTAAAAAGACCACTAGGCTGAAGCCAGAATTTGTCAGTTTTGGGACTGGAAACAGGGGGGCAGCCTCTGAACAGGCATGGGGGACCAAGTGTATTTCCAGCAGCCTCTCTGGGGGTCAACGCTACATCAGAAAACCGGCAAGAAGGAAATGACTAAATGTGGCCCCATTTGTAATTTTTGCATTGCTGCCCTCTGCTTACTTGGTCTGTTCCTGTTTTGGTCACATCCATACAAAGACCCTTGATACATTTGTGGCAATATAGACCCCCCCCCCCCTTTGGTTTACTCACCTGCAGAAAATGGTATAAAAGCTTCAATATTAACAAGGTTTCCCTCTGAATCCAGAAAATGCTGAGGATAAAACTCTTCTGGCTTCTCAAAGTGCTCTTTGTCTTGTAGGACAGAATACAGTAATGTAATCACTTGGGTTCCCTGCAAAGAATATAGGAGAGAGACCTTTGAATGGGTACAGTCAAGTCAAAACTAAAGATTAGGAACTGAAACGATTTCAGAAAGCACAGATTACCAACTCATTCAATATTTTTAGATTGCTTTAGTGGGGAGTGGGGGAAATGCAATCCTAGTTTCTCAAAAAGTCACAAGTCTGCAACAAAACATTTTAAATCAGATCTCTGTACTGCAGAAAGGGACGACAAGTTTTAAAAGCCACAGACAAGGCTGGAGTGAGGGATTCAGTCTAAACATACATTTAAACACCTAAAAGGGCCTGGAAAGTCAGACTTTTGAATACAACCCAATCATAAATATTTGTAAAATAGTCTAGCAGCAATACAAATTGGAAAGTTTGGCTTTACTTTATCCAAAGCTAACCTTTTTTATACAAATAAAGCACTTACCACTAGGCAAATTTCATAACTTGTGCATTAATGGAGAGATATTATAAGTATGAGACCAAACATGCCAGTGCTATAATGTGAAGCAGCCAAACTGATCACATTACATTTCCCAAGGAGAATAGACATAAGATCCCAGTGGCGTACTATGTGGGGCGTGGGGGTTGGGGTCTTCACCGGGTGCCGGCACACTGGAGATGTTGACTTTTTATTTTTGCATGGTACTTCAGTGCCTAAAATATTAGCACTACAGTGATTCATTTCTCTTTTTGACAGCTACAGTTCAGAGCAGAGGGAAGCTCCTCCTGTGCAGGATCTCTGTTTCCAGACACACCCACCATAGACTACTAGCTGTCTCTTACATACACAATTTCAGTTGTATTAAAGAATCTATAATAAAACACGCTCACTGCTACCAGCATCAACAGTAAAATGCTTGAAGGTTTTAGTCTAAGTGATACAGCGAGGAGGGAAATTAACCAGCACACGGTAACAGAAACCCAAAAATGTGAATCTCAGTGAACACTGGATTGCAGATAACTGGAAAATGAAGGTGGTGGACCCTTTGTGTTGCTAGTTGAATATAGGCCCTAAAGAGGGCCGAGTCACGGGGTCAAAGGAAAAGCTGGTTGTTCACTACAGCAATCTGCAAGGAATGATGGTCTGTGCTATAAATGGTCCCCAGTTGTAGCCCTCAGTTACATTTGAAGTGGTAGAAGCTGAAAGCCAGCAGAAATGAAGTGCAGTACAAAAATGGACAGGCAAGATTGTGGTCAAACAAGTAAAAAGGTCAAGGCAAGTGGAAAACAAGGACTGTCGAGAAATTGGCAGAGGCTGTAAATGGGCATCAGAACTGCAAAAGATCACAGTGGGTACAGGAGCTTGGGAACAGATACTGAGGGAGGTATTTGCTTAAGCAACTCATTAATGCAAATAGACATACATACATCTTTCCCAGACAAGACCTCAGAGGAAGTGTAAATAGCACTTATCACTAAGAACCCACAGGGTAATTGCGAGAACATCTAAACATGTGGATTGGGAAAATCTAGAGCTTGTTTCTAGGGAGTGGTAGAATCAATTAGATATCAAGCATGGGACCAGGAGCAAAACAATAGACTGATCCTGAACAATGCCTGCATCTACAGAGGTGAGGACTATCCAATTCCATATTATGGAGATCTGACCTTACTTAATTTTATGACAGGGAGTAATGGGAAAGCTCTCCATTGGGGACAAAAAAAAAAAAAAAACGCAAAAAAAAACCTCCCACCTCTCAGTAAAAGAGGAGGGTGATTATAACTACTGTCTGGTTATTTTTACAAATCACTACATTCCTGTGCTGGGGTCTACTGCTGATTTATTTAATTTTCCTGCTTATAAAAAGGGACAGTAAGTGAGGGTAAACCTGCAAAACATTGTCACAAAAGAGTAATATCACATTTTACTATACAAAACTTAAAAGTGAAAAAAAAAAAAAAATAGCCACTTTACTTTTAAGGCCAAACTTTTTTACTTTATTTATTTATTTTTTTTAAGTTCTGTCATGACCTTTCAGTTAACTCTCCAAATAAAGTGGGTGGATAACAGGGGCACAGGCCCTGACAGATATTCTAGTTCCTCTACACTCTATTCAAAACTGAAAATGTTTTGCCTTTAGTTCAATGAGTTTGGGTCACTTTGATCTAGGAACCACCTTTTTTTTTTCCCAAAAGGGACAACATTTGACTTCTGTAGTTTGAGTTTTTCAGGTTGGTTGCTTTTCTTTTTTTATATAATAGATGAAGAATAAAAATGTAATACTTACTTTGGGTATGAAGAATCCTTTGAAATTCACATCCTCAGTAGTGGCATGTGGAACACTTGTTGGCACAATATTACCAAATCTTTGGATTTCATGGATAACGGCATCAGTATATGGCATTTCTTTTCGGTGTATCAGTTGAGGCTCTCCAGAACCGATGACTTTTTCAATTTCCTTCTGAACATTTTCTGGTGTTGAAAGAAAGGCATCCTGGCTTATATAAGGGGTTTTATATTTTCTCTTAAGATAAATTAAGTAATTTCTAAGTTTGTTAGTTCAACGAGGGCAGTTTTAACAACGTTTTAGTAGACTGATAATTATTCACCATAAGGGGGTTCCTCTGTTTCCTGTATTTGTAACCTGCCCAGATAAAAACAATGAAAGCTGGTCCTCCCGATTTGAAGTGTTGTCTTTAGTAATGTTCCATATTATTGATCATATGGCATACCTCATGGACAAACTATAATTCAATCATATGGTCTAAGCAGTTATTATTTTATGAGTTGTCATGTAAATTGGAAGATTGGGGTAAATGGATAATACCATAGTGATGGTAAAAGAAAACAGCACACAAAATAAATCACCTACTTTGTATTTCTGGGTATTTCATCATCAGCAGGATGCCCCATCGGAGAGTGGTGGAGGTTGTCTCCATTCCAGCAGCAAACAAGTCCATCACCAGAACAGTTAGATTTGTGTCATTGAAATATAACTCTGGATTTGGTTTTTCCTGAAATTCATACAATTTAGAGAATGTCATATTTGCTTTAGCTCTTACATGCAAGGCTAGATTTCTATCACTAGGGCCTACAGACTTTCAGTCTTTGGAGTTCAAAGTTTCCTCCCTCATCCCTGTACAAGGATCACCTCTTACACAACATTTTCTAGTTTGCTGGTCCCAATATGAATTAGAATATTATACCAATGTGCATATAAGGTTATAATAGAGGATTATTTTTATTGTTAAAAAAAAAAAAAAAAAAAAATGTGACCAATAACTACCTGCTTTGTTAAAAAGTGCCTGAATTGTGGAAGCTATGCCCTAAAAAGGCAGTTGAGGGAAAAAGGCTAGTCATAAGTATTGCTTGTGGTCAATATGTAGCTCATTGTTTCCCCATTACTAACTTGCCATGCTTTGTTCTGCGCTATGTCTGTGTGCCAGCAGCCATCTTGGTGGAAACATGGCTTTGCTTCCTCAAGTCAGATCTGCCCTGATTATTGATGGGGGAAAATACAAGATGCAGCAGGAGAGGTGTAGGAAGCACAGATGCACAGAATAGATGAAGCAGAAGCAGAGAGCTTGTTTGCAGCTTGAAGCAGAACAGCTTTACAGCAAGAAGAACATTGAACAGCACTGTAGTGACATCTCCTATTCTCACTCAATATCTTCTAAAACTAGCAGTGCCTTAGATGATCACACTGGGTAATCAATACAATAGCAAATCACAAAAACATCATTTGGAGTTAAGATCCACTTTAAGGGTGACAGGCTCTCTTTATAGATTTAACCTTGTGAGGCACTGGCTGGCAGGGTTGTGGATAATGTAAACGTGTCATCCTGCAGCTAATACACACAAAAGGGCTGAGATGCTCATAATATCATTGACCTAATACAGGTACTAGTAGGTCAATGTCAATGACCAAATATGACCATGTGACCATATCAGGCCAATTATGTTACGAGCATCCTGCCCCCTTGTATACATGCAGCTGTGGGGTAGGTAATCTCCTGCTCGCAGCTCAATAGCCCAGCAATGACAGGTTCACGGTGAGCCCAGTTAAAACCGAAACCAAACTAATACTTAGTCAGGAACTGGCATACGTTTTGTAAATGGCTCGGAAGAACAGATGTTTTGCATTTGTTTTATGCTATGGACTTTCTACACTAACTATACTGAATTGTACAAATCAAAGACCAAATCCAAAGACCCTTTTCCCCTGCAAGGCTAGCATAATCATAGGCCCAGCTTTGTGGATAAAATACATCAAAGGAGGAGGTTCCAGGTGGGGACTCTCCATGTTGTTTGGACGAATAAAGTTGGAGAGCAGCCGTTTGGACGAATTTTTTTTTTCCTTTTGTTCAGTCTATGGGCCATTGGATTAGCCTCTGCTGGATGAGGCTATTGGATGAGCACTGCCGTTCTTTCACAAGGGTGACCCGATTCCGATTTTGAGAACCACAAATTCTACACTTCTGCATTGCTACATTGTTTACTGTGTATTTGAATAAAGGTGCTGGAACAACCTGCTTGGACTGTTCCTGTCTCATGCATGTTTTACCACTGTCACCACCAGTTGAGTCTGTCCTCCTAACAGCTTTAATGAAAAGTGAGCAGGGAGAAACAAGTAGGTTCTGTATAAAATGACATATACCTCCTTTTGTTTGACAAGGAAAACATCAATAAAATTCCTCTGATCATTGACATCAAGATTATTCCTCTGATGGGTGAAGGTTTCTCTTATAAAAGTGTGCATTTCCTCCCTGTATGAAATGACATCTCTGTGATTCCCAGGCAGCCATCGGACCAGAGATGGAAATGCATTGTACAACTAAAAGAAGAAACATACAGTTAGTTTCCTGATAAGGTTAGGTAACCATATTCCATGTGAAGAGACCAAGCAAAAAGAACATGTTTACAAAGGACATCTAATTAGTAAGCACCTGAATTTCAGCTGGTATCAGTCCTTTGCAGTCCATGTACAACAGTAAAGAAGAAACAGTACAAGGAGTCAATAACTTCATGTGCTCACAAGTAGTATGACGATAGAATTACATAATAGTGAGATGAGCTTATGACTTTGCTGCTTCTCCTTTCACTGTCCAGTCACAGCTGGGTGGGTTTAGGACAGTGTTTCTCAACTCCAGTCCTCATGGACCCCCAACAGGTCATGTTTTCAGGATTTCCATTATGCACAGGTGTGATCAACGGATTTGATCAGTTTCACTGCCTTAGTAATTACCACAGCTGTTTCATCTGAGGGAAATCTCTGAAAACATGAACCTGTTGGGGTCCATGAAAGTTGGAGTTGAGAAACACTGGTTTAGGACAACTTAGACTCAAAAAAAGTAGTCAAATGAATGTGATCAAACGGAGGACACCTAGTGGCAGAAAAAAAACTGCCATGGAAATCTCTAGATTGAAGCTGAATGTTGCAGTGAAAGTTTGTTATTTTATCTTATAACCACTTCCACACACACTATAGCAGTTTTACTGCTACAGGGTGGTCATACTGCACAAAATCAAATATATATACACGTTGCTTTGCATTGCTGGGTAGCGGGTGCACGTGTGTGCGTCACCCTACCTGCACTGTCATTGGGTCCTGTGTCAATCACCGGGTCCTGGTCTGCGATTCATGGTCAAGACTTAGCGATTTGCGTAGCAGCTGACTGGAGAGGGATCTGCGAGTGTAAAAAAACACAGATTTCCCTCCTGTCAGCGGGAACATGCTGGTTTTTATCTCCCTGCAAAACAGGGAGATAAAAAACAGCATGTCTCTTAGTAAAGCACAATAAAGTACACAGTCTAACACTCCCTAACACACTGTAAACCATTTGATCACTCCAGATGTTAATCCCTTCCTACCCCTTGTCATTAGTACAGTGTCAGTGCTTTTTATTAGCACTGATCACTGTATTAGTGTCACTGGAGAGGTCAGTGGCAGTTCTCACCCAGTGTCAGAATGCCCACCGTACTTTTGCAGTTCTGCTATAAGTCACTGATTGTGGCCATTACTAGTTTAAAAAATAAATACAAATTGCAGTAATATATATATATATAAACACACACTACACATATATATATATATACACACATTTATACACACACACACACACATTTTTAGATGCTGTAACTGTCACGCAAACCAATTATACACTTATTTGGATTTTTTTTTTGCCAAAGACATGAAGCAAAATACATTTTAGACTAAATTTATGATGACTTTTTTTAATTGGATAGATTTTATAGCAAAAAGTAAAAAAAAAAAATATTGTTTTTTTTTTAATTTTCAGTCTATTTAAATTTATAGCACGAAAAATATATATAATGGTAGAATCATGACAGATTTCCTAACTCCATAGATTAATTGTTCCAGTCGAATGTCATTGCACAATGGTTCCATAAATATGTAAGTGTCTCTGATCACATGGCCAGATCATGTTGAACAGCCACACTTCCTTTGCTCTATATGCTGAGAGTTATACGCAGTAGGGATGAGTGAAGGCATCCTTGTGGGAGGTTTGGGGAACCCAGTAGGAAGTTTGTGAAGCTTGGTCTTAGAAGCACATCTTACTAATGTTTATAGAAGACAAAACTGCCATTTTTCATGCTAATACACCATCTGTTGTGGAAGAACGGGCATAGGGAGCTGGGCACTGCCCTGGGAGACAAGTGGCGATGCAACACATTAAAAAGTTACCATTTAGCAGGGAGAGAGTCTTTTAATTATGTTTCAAGGGCAATACTGAAAACAAAAAAATAAAATTAAATAACATGCTGGGGGATATTGTAATTCTGCACATAAAGTTATCCAACAAATGCTGTATTCTTTAAATGTAACATGGGAAAAACAGCAGACGTCCAGAGGAGGGCAGAAAACAGGGCAGCAAACATGGGACTCCTCTTCCTGTGTCATGGAAGTCCCCATGCCTGTCAACCCTACATTGCAATAGGGGTAAAAGCCTCTTGATCCCCTTTTAAGATACCTTATCCCATTGTTGAAGGCCTATTTCTCTTTGTCACCCAAACAGGTTTGTGAAGGGACCCCCAAAAAACAGGGTTTGTGCAGGGATTTATAGGAATTTTGAAGCCCTTTTAGAACAAGAGGGCCACCAAATATCTGAACCACAAAAAAAATGGCCTGGGGATCCCACTTAAATAATGCAAATATAATGAGGGGCCACCAACATAGTCTGGTGGGGTGTTGCGAGGAGGAGGAGGAGGAGGAGAAAAGAAGGTTACACACCCATAAGGCAAATCCTCATACAAAATATTTATTCACAAAAAATAAACAGAATGCAATGCATCATGTGTGACCGCCCACCCCACTGTCCCCTAGGCCCCCCCAAGCATGATCAATCCCACCCGAACCTGAGACCCCTCCACCAGATATTGCCATCTTCAGAGGAAAAAAAAAAAAAAAAAAAAAAAAAAAAGAGCAGAATTGCATTATCAAAGTAGTATTTATTTATTCCTAAAAATAAGCGACAACATAAAAGACAACACTGTCAAATCACCATGAAAAAGTTAAAGTTGACCGATTTTAGGGTTCCCTCTGGGTGCTCCTGCAAACTTGTGCAACATGGACATCAGAGTCACATGACAAGTTGCAGCCCATTCTTTTCAATGGCACCTGTTCAAATCAATGAGAGTTAAAGTTGACCGATTTTAAAAGGTGCTGCACTACTTTTAAAACTTTGGAGATGCGCTAATGTGAATGCGCTAAGTGAATCTTAAGAGTATTTTAATGTCTGAGGTCACTGTCATTGGCTGTCACAGTGATCATATGATTGGGAGCCTGTTTTACCAGCTCCTGATAGTTGCTATGTGACCAGGAGCTGTCAGTGATAGTGTATTCACACTGATGCAATTGCTCCCTGCCCAAACCAGGTGCACATACAGTATGTGTGACAACACAAAATAAAGCTCACCTCTGTATTGCCATATACACTGCTCAAAAAAATTAAACAAACAATTAAAAAAAAAACACATCAGATCTCAAGGGGGAAAAAATCTTATGCTGGATATCTATACTGATGTGGACTGGGTAATGTGTTAGGAACATAAGGATGCCCAATCGTTTGATGATCAACTACGTATGGAATTCAAAGACTCTGTGAGAAAATGATGCAGCAGGCGAGTCCATTTTACTGAAATTTCATTGCAACTCAAAATGGTCCTCAGTTTGTTTGGCCCCCACGTGCTTGTATGCATGCCTGACAATGTCGGGGCATGCTCCTAATGAAACGATGGATGGTGTCCTGGGGATATTTCCTCCCAAATCTGAACCAGGGCATCACTGTGCTCCTGGACAGTCTGAGGTGCAACCTGGCAGCATTGGATGGACTGAAACATGATATCCCAGAGGTGTTCTATTGGATTTAGGTCAGGCGAGTGTGGAAGCCATTCAATGGTATCAATTCCTTCATCCTCCAGGAACTGCCTGCATGAGGCCGGGCATTGTCAAGCACCAGGAGGAACCCAGGACCCACTGCAATAGGCTTTCATCCTGATATCTAATGGCAGTCAGGGTTCCATTGTCTAGCCTGTAGAGGTCTGCGCATCCCTCCATGGATATGCCTCCCCAGACCATCACTGACCCACCACCAAAATGGTCATGCTGAACGATGTAAAGGCAGCATAACGTTCTCCACGGCTTCTCCAGACCCTTTCACGTCTGTCACATATGCTCAGGGTGAACCTGCTCTCATCTGTGAAAAGCACAGAGCACCATCGGAGGACCAGTCAATTCTGGTGTTCAATGGCAAATGACAATCAAGCTCTAAAGGTGTCAGAAAGTGAGCACAAGGGCCCACTAGAGGACGTTGGGCCCTCAGGCCACCCTCGTGAAGTCTGCTTCTGATTGTTTGGTCAGAGACATTTAACCAGTGGACTGCTGGAGGTAATTTTGTAGGGCTCTAGCAGGGTTCATCCTGTTCCTCCTTGCACAAAGGAGTAGATACCAGTCCTGGTGATGGGTTAAGGACATTCTACGGCCCTGTCCAGCTCTCCTAGAGTAACTGCCTGTCTCCTGGAATCTCCTCCATGCTCTGAGACTGCTACATAGGAGACACAGCAAACCTTCTGCCAATAGCACGTATTGATGTGCCATCCTGGAGGAGTTGGACTGCCTGTGCAACCTCTGTAGGGTTCAGGTATCGCCTCATGCTACCAGTAGGACCCTGACCCTAGCCAAATGCAAAACTAGTGAAAAACAGAAAAGACGAGTAAGAGGAAAAAAAAAAAAAAAAAAAATGTCAGTGACCTCCATCTGCAAAACCATTCCTGTTTTGGGGGTCTGCTCATTGTTGCCCATCTAGTGCACCTGTTAATTTCTTTAACACCAAAGCAGCTGAAACTGATTAACAACCCCTCTGCTACTTAACTGACCAGATCAATATCCCAGGAGTTTAACATTGACTTGATGCTGTACTCTGCTCAAAAAAAATTAAAGGAACACGGTTTTATCAGTGCTCAAAAAATTAAAGGAACACTGTTTTATCAGTGTATATGGGTACTGCCTGTCTTATAGGCCTTGGGTCACCTTACAGGGTAAGGTGAGCCAACAGTATGATGTTTAAAGTATTGCAGTAAAGACCTTACCAAAGCCATTGGGGAGCCGGAAATTCTTGCCACATCATTGATGATTGTTAAAAGCCTTGAAAGTTTTGGATCATCATAGTCAAAACGATAACCAAGCAATATGGACACAATGATATTGGCCACAGCACTATTCATTATCATGGTGTTTTCAAATGGTTTTCCTGGAATATAAGCAAAAGATATTACTAAGAAGTTTAGAAATAATAAACATAATTCTAAGCAACAAGGGCCAAAGAAATTAAGGTAAAAAGGGCACAAGGAGAGGAAGGGGTTCGCTTTGTTTATCAAATGCAAAATATGTCTCCTAGCACAGATTGGACCCTGCTGTGTGCAGCAGACTTCTGCCTGCCAAGCAGAGTTCTGAAGAAGAGTCAAAAGGTGATAAATAGGCATGTTCAGGTTGGAAATTCGGACAAATTTTTGTTATTCGGAGGTTTTTGAATTACAACAGTAACAAATTTAAACGAATCCAAAATAATGAAACAAAATTTCATCAGATTAATTAAAAAATAAATTTGAACTATAAACATATTGCTGATTTCCTTCAAAAACTGCTATATTAGTGTTAGATTATAGCGGTCTTCCGAAATTCAAATTTCAAAAAGAATACAATAAAATATAATAGAAAATAGCTTAAAAACAGAGCAAACAGGAAAAAAAAAAATAGAAAATAAAGAATAAAATAGAAAAAAAAACCCCTAAAATAGAAAAAAAAAAGAAAATAAAAAAAGAAAAGAACAGATTAGAAAATATAAAAATAGAATAGAAAAAAATCAGAACAGATTAGAATAAAAAAAATATAGCCATCTTTCAAAATTCAAAAAAAAAAAAAATAGGATACAATAGAAGAAAAACAGAACAGAAAATAAAAAAAATAGAATAGAAAGAATACAGCCATCTTCTGAAATTCATATTTTAAAAAGAGTAGAGTAGACTAAAACAGAATAGCATAAAAACAGAAAATAGAATAGGAAAGAAAAAACAGAAAATAAAAAAAATAGAAAAAAATAGGATTATAATAGAATACAATAAAATAGAAAGAATGTAGCCATCTTCTGAAATTTAAATTTCAAAAATTAAAAAAAATGAGACTAGAATAGAACAGAATTTAAAAGAATAGGAAAAAATAGAACAGATTAGAATAGAATAAAATAGAAAGAACATAGCCGTCTTCCGAAAATTCAAATTTCGAAAAAAATAAATAAAACAGAATATAAAACAAATATATATAAAAAAATAAAAGGCATAGAATAGAAAATAAAATAGAAAAAAAAAAAAAAAAAAAAAAAAAGAAAGAAATATACCCGTCTTCCGAAATTCGAATTTCAAATAGAATGAAACCAGCTATTCACAATGAATTCACATTAATTCAATATTTTCGATTCAAATTAGATTCAAATAGTTTGAATCCATTGGAAAACGAGTAAACGGAACTAAGCAAACACATTTAGTTACAAATGCAACAAGATGAAATTAGTAACGTAAACCGAACCAAAACCAAAAACAAATTCTGTATATGTCTAGTGATGAGAGTATCAGTTCAGGAGTTTCATTGGGTTGGACAACAGTCACTTATTCCTTGAGACTGCTTGTGCTTTCGACAAAATGTACACCCTTCTTCTGGAACAGGCTGCTTCGAGCACAGGCGGGGGGTACCATGGGAATGTAGGGTTCCCTCTAGATATTTATGTTACAGTCAAGAAAGAACAATCTCTAAATGAGACAATCTCATGTATAGATGATCTAGCCCGCTCTGCTGATAGGTAGCAAAACAATTATAAGGCATCTCGCAAATGGGTGCCTAATCTCTTGCAAAGTACATTTTGGTGCATTTCCCATGCCTGGAAATCCCAAAGTGCAGACAGCTTCCCATGCACATAAATGCTCATGTACATTAAAGGAAATAAGTATTTGATCCCCTGCTGATTTAGAATGTGGGCCCACTCAAAAGAAATGATCAGTCTAAAAATCGAATGTTAGGTGTATTGTAACACTAAGACAGAATAGCAACGAAATTTCAAAAGAATTTTTTTGTTGTATTTAACAAATTATGCACTGATTTGCATGTTCATGAGGGAAATAAGTATTTGATCCCCTATCATTCAGCAGGATTTCTGGCTATCAGGTGTCTTTCATACAGGTAACAATCTGAGATTAGAAGCAGTCAAGGGGAGTGCTGCTAATCTCATTTTGTTACCTGTATAAAAGACACCTGTCCACAGGAGCAATCAATCAGATTCCAAACTCTCCACCATGGCAAAGACCAAAGAGCTGTCCAAGGATGTCAGGGGCAAGACTGTAGACCTACACAAGGCTGGACTGGGCTACTAAACTATCGCCAATCAGCTTGGTTTGAAGGTGACAACAGTTGCTGCAATCATTTGCAAATGGAAGAAACACAAAACAACTGTCAGTCTCCCAGGTCTGGTGCACCATGCAAGATCTCACCTCGTGGAGTGTCTCAAGAAAGCACATGTCCAGGCCCGTCTGAAGTTTGCCATTGAACACTTGAATGATGCAGAGGAGGACTGGTTGAAAGTGTTGTGTCAGATGAGACAAAAGTCGAGCTCTTTGGCATCAACTCAACTTGCCGTGTTTGGAGGAGGAGGAATGCTGCCTATGACCACAAGAACACCATCCCAACTGTCAAACATGGTGGTGGAAACATTCTGCTTTGGGGGTGTTTTTCTGCTAAGGGGACAGGACAACTGCACCGCATCAAAGGGACGATGGACGGGGCAATGTACTGTCAAATCTTGGGTGAGAACCTTCTTCCCCCAGCCAGGGCACTGAAAATGGGTCATGGATGGGTGTTCCAGCATGACAATGACCCAAAACACACAGCCAAGGCAACAAAGGAGTGGCTCAAAAAGAAGCACATTAAGATCCTGGAGTGGCCTAGCCAGTCTCCATACCTTAATCCAATTGAAAATCTGTGGAGGGAGCTGAAAGTTCAAGTTGCCAAACATCAGCCACTAAGCCTTAATGACTTGGAGAGGATCTGCCAAGAGGAGTGGGCCAAAATCCCTCCTGAGATGACCTGGTGGCCAACTACAGGAAACATCTGACCTTTGTGATTGCCAACAAGGGATTTGCCATCAAGTACTAAGTCATGTTTTGTGAAGGGGATCAAATACTTATTTCCCTCATGAACATGCAAATCAGTGCATCATTTGTTAGACAGGCATTTCTTTTGAATTTCTTGTTGCTATTCTGTCTCTCAGTGTTACAATATACCTACCATTCGATTTTTAGACTGATCATTTCTTTGTGGGTGGGCAAATATTCAAAATCAGCAGGGGATCAAATACTTATTTCCTTCACTGTAAGCACTTACATTGAGTATGACTTATGCAAAAAAATTAAGATTCTTTTTTTTTTTTTTTACATAGACCTGTATGCTATGAGTTTTCCCAGGAGCACTGTCACACTTCATGTCTAAGTGGCATTTGGTCTTTCCAAGCAGGGGAAATACATTGGAATTTATGTTGTATAGACTTCTAAGTCCTAATTCAAATTTACAGCAGTTTTCATATGGAATTCAAGTTATTCAATCATTAAAGAGTCTGATTGCAGCCTCTGACTACTTGCTATCAGGAGCAAGACACCAACTAAAAACATATGATTCTAGTAAGGTGGTTTGCCCTGACTTCTGAATAGGGTACTGTCAATGAAAGGAGACAGAGACCGTGTGAGAAGCGTGAAGAATCTGAACAGTAGGTGCAGTATGGCCTGTATGTGGGATTGTGCAGCCCCAGAACCAACAACCACAATCCACCACTACTGACCTTTGTAAGCTTTTAAAGTCTTTACCAAACTGTGGCACTCTTCAGTGATCTTATCTTCTATTTTTCTCTTCCCCATCCCGAAATCTCGCAGTGTAGAAAGAGTGAATCGTCTCATGGCTTTCCAGTTATTACCATTAGAAAATATAAGTCCTGAAGAAATAAAATAACGCATACATTTTATCAGTTTAACAACTTCAAGTCTTCACACTTTCACCCCCTTCCTGCCCAGGCCAATTTTCAGCTTTCAGTGCTATCACACTTTGAATGACAATTGCTCGGTCATGCAACACTGTACCCATATGAATTTTTTTAGCATTTTTTTTGAGACAGATGCATTTGATTTTGGTGGTATTCACCACTGGGATTTTTATTTTTTGCTATAAAAATGAAAAAGTCCAAACATTTTGAAAAAAAAAAAAATAAAAAAGTTTCTTTCCAAATAAACAAACAATCTTTCAGAAATCTTAGCCAAAATGTATTCATCTATGTTTTAAGTAAAAAAAAAAAAAAAAAAAAATCTAAATTAGTTTAACCAAAAATTTTTTTAAATTTTCTTCTACATTTTTATTTTATTTTTTTATATTATGTTTTTGTCTTATACCGATTGTGTCAGGCACCGCCCGGCGGGATCTCTAGTGACCCACAGAACAGGATTCCCCAGGGCGCAGAGTCTAAGCCCCAGTCTGCCTTTTCACCAGAGCCCCTGATGGTGGGGATGGACTTGGTGCGAGACTGAAACCAGGTCGCGACCCATGAGTGCATCCAACTGTGGTAGAGGGGTCCCGCTGAGGGGTACGTGGGGGGGGGGGGGGGGGTGAGCCTGCTGTGAAGAGGCTGACAAGTCCAGGTCCCGAGCGGGATGGATGGATGACAGTCAGGAGTGAGCGTAGTCAGACTAGCCAGGTCGGTAACGGTGGAGGCAGGTAGGTACCAAACAGTAGACAGAGAGCAGCCGGGTCACAAGCCAAGGTTCAGCAACGGGAGGTCCAATAGTAATATACAACAGGCAGGAGAGTAGTCACGGACGAGCCGGGGTTCAGAGCAGGAGAAGGTCAACACAAATCAGGACAAGCAGGATCGGCAACAGGAACACACTTCAGAACACGGGTACAGGAACTAGACCTTGCGGCAACCTAGTCACCGTCTGGCCAGTTTAAATAGTGCGCCCTGCACAGTCATTGGTGCAATTACCGACACCGACGCCCAGGTCCTAGTGCCTGCACATTAGTGCACCTAGGCAATCTGTGTATGTGCAGACCTGTGCGCCACTGCGAGACCCGCAGTCCCTGAAAGATTGCTTTTGCACCCATAAAGGCTGTAATAGCAAAAATTTCTCCTCTCTGGCTGCATTCTTGCAGCCATTGAGAAATACTGTGAGGGCTGTGATTGAATTAGTCACATGGTACAAGGCTGTTGTGAATAGCCTTGTACCATGTGACCTGTAATCATTCACAGATTTCACTAGTTGTAAGCAATGATATCAGCAAGTGACATCTTGCTTACTACTATTCATGATTGGCCAATCAGTGATCACATGATCGGGACCTCACACAGAGGTCCCGTACAGCGAACGGTGTTCCGCTGAGTCCAGAGGACACAACTGGGGAGCATGCACAGGCAGGGAATTGAGGACATTTATAAACAGACACCTGCCCCTGCACTGCTCCCGTCCGGCCCGTTTATGTACATGGGCCAGATGTGAAGTGGTTAAAGGGCAATCCTAGGCGAAATGCTGAAACACACACACACACACCCCACCAGGTTTGCTAATCTAGTTTCCCACCAGAGTGCTCCTTTCCTTATCTGGCCCAGGGGGGGTGTAGGTTTATTCACTTGTCCCTCTCCTGTGCTGCTATAGATGCAGTGGCTGCTATCAGGCCTTCTAGCTCCTCCTCAGCTGATCAGGTGGTCCTCTCTCAGGGGGCAGTGAAGGTACAAGCTTTCTTCCTGTCCAGCTCCTCCACCTGTAGGCGAGTCCCTTTCCACTTTTGAGCTCCCTCCCAGGCTCCTGCATTTTAGCCTACTTCTCCATCTTTCATCTGAACTCTCCTGCAGCTGAGCAGGCTCTCACTTTTAAGACTTGTCCTGACCCCTTACTAAGCCTCCTGTTGGGGATTGGCCAGGATCCCTGAAGAGTACAATCCAGCCACTTAGATCCACCCGCTGCTTTTAGACCTTTCTCCAATGTTCTAGATCAGGGGGAAATTCCAGAGAGACTGGCCTGCAGAGCCTCTCAGCTCTGACCCAAATTTAACCTCCCTCTTACTGTTGCACCTGGGCTACTGCTCAGCCCCTATCTAACAACTGAAGCTAGAGCTCCCCCTAGCTAACTAGGAGGGTGCTACATTACTTTAACCATTTCAGTGCCAGGTCCATACATCAGATGGACCTGACAGCGAGGGGTTTTACACAGAAGCCAGATTGTGTGTAAATCTGACAAGCAGACTGCCTCTTGTCAGGTGAAGGAGGTGCCAGACTGCTTTCACAACCCCCCTGTAATGGAACCCCACCCGTGCGCATCCCCGCCATGTATCCTGGGCTCCGCTTGCCCATCTGTGAGCCTTGGACTGGCATAGCAAGTCCTGCTGGATAGGGGGGGAGGGAACTGTGCAAACACACAGTCTCCTCTGGAAGCGACGTGTTTGACGTCACTACCAGGGGCAGACTGACCATTTGGAAACTCGAGCACTGCCCAGAGGGCCTGGGGTCAGTAGGGGGCCCCATGAGATGCCCCGGTACCTTTTTCATAGGTTTTTTTGAGTTTGGACAAGGACACAGGGGCCCCATGATCCCCTATTTCCGGGGGCCCCATGAGTTGTCAGTCCGCCCCTGGTCACTACTAGGTCCTTCTCTCAGTTTCCCCAGCTGGTATGATCAGAAAAGAATGTAAAGATATGCCATCTGCATTGAATTACAATCAGTGGAGCACAGGGGAAACACCCAGGGTCTTAGACCCTGGATGTCTTATTAAAGAGAACCTGTCACCAAAAAAAAACTACTACATGGACTTTTTGTCCCCTAATTGATGAAAAAAAGTGTAACTAAATAAATACATTTTAAATTCTAAAAAAATTGAAGTTACATGAAAGCACATAATTCCACACCCCTAAAAAAAAAATTGAGCCCACCCCACATATATACACATACAAACATAAACGCACACGTCAGGGGTGCCTATCTATGAAAACGTTGATAGCGATACAAATGTTACATATCTCCACGCACGCCAGAGTGAGAGTAATAATCCTAGCACCAGACATCCTCCGTAACACTAAACTGACCTATAGGGGGCTTTTAAAGTGTCTCCTATAGAAAATATAGGGTACTGAAGTTTGTGGCCATTACATGAGCACATGCAAATTTAGGGTATTTACTTGGTGCAGCCATCACCTTTTATATTTTACAAAAATTGGAAATTTTATTTTGTTTGTGTGCCCTAAAATTTACTTTAGTATATAACTTTTAGTGAAATTTTGCGGTAATATCGTGTAACAAAAAATTGGAACTACCACTATTTTACTCTCTGGGGTATTTGCTTTCAAAAAATATATAATGGTTTGGGGTTTTTTATGCAATCTTTAGGCCTAAAATTAGTTTTTAAACACGAGGGCCAAAAATGCAAAAATGGCTCTGGCAGCTAAGGGTACAGCCAAACTGCCTAAACCATAATAAATGTGGGCTTTTTTTTTTTTTTTTTTATTGTACCATTGTGCTTTAGCAAGGGTTACAATTCCATGCAAAGTGCTCCACTCTAATCAGCAGTGCTCATGCTTAATGAACAGTCCTGTTGATGTCCAGCTCGCTGCCAGCACAACAATCAATATGGACAAAGAAAACCTCCAAAAACACCCACATTTACTAGTGTTTATACAGCGTATCCAATTTACTTTAATTTGTGCACTGTACAATCCATTGCAGTCTAAATTTACAGACCTGTACTTATGTCAAATTGGAGGTGTTGCCTTCTGGACCCATTGCTGTGCCGATTGCTAAAATGCATTTTTATAAGCATTTCCCTTGCATTTAAACTCCTTTCCACAATAAATAACAGAGCGGTTTCCAACTCAGAAAAGCAGCTGTGGTTGATTGAGACGTCTACATGCACCAGCCTTGGTGGGATTTACACTCACCGGCCACTTTGTTAGGTACACCTGTTCAATTGCTTGGTAACACAAATTGCTAAATCAGCCAATCACATGGCAGCAACATAATGCATTTAGACATCTAGATGTGGTAAAGACAACTTGCTGACGTTCAAGCCAACCATCAGAATGGGGGGGATTTAAGGGACTTTGAATGTGGCATGGTTGTTGGTGTCAGACGGACTGGTCTGAGTATTTAAAAAATTGCTGATCTTCTGGGATTTTCACACACAACCATCTCTAGGGTTTACAGAGAAAATATTTCCCCTCTATTACTTTTCTGAGGACAACCCAAAATGTGGGATTTTCTTTTTACTTTCAATGATAATGGTTAACAGGACAAACAGAGGGGGAGAATCTTCCTAATGCAAATAGTTCAACTTTAGGATCACCGACAGGTAAAAGTGATTAACATCAATTATCTTCTTACAGTAGCATTGGAAAATCAGTGGAATATGTTAGGCAGAAAGTAATTATGCTGTCCAGGAAGTTGATGTGTTGAAAGCAGGAAGAATGGGCATCTGTGTTGTGTATGGGGCTGTGTACCCACAGGCCAGTCAGGGTGCCCATGTTGACCTGTGTCCACAGCCAAAAGCACCTACAATGGGCATGTGAGCATCAGAACTGGACCACAGAACAATGGAAGTAGGTCGCCTGGCCTTTTCTTTTACATTATGTGGATGGTTGGGTGTGTGTACATTGCTTACTTGGTTAAGAGATGGTACCAGGATGCAATATGGAAAGAAGGCAAGCTGGCAGAGGCAGTGTGATGCTCTGGGCAATGTTCTGCTGGGAGCCTTGGGTCCTGCCATTCATGTGGATTGTTATTTGACATGTACCACCTACCTAAATATTGTTGCTGACCAAGTAATCCCTGATAGCAGCAGCCTCTTTCAGCAGGATAATGCACTCTGCCATACTGAAAAAAATGGTTCAAGAATGGATTGAGGAATACAAGTTCAAAGTCTAAAATCTCCAGATCTGTGGGATGTGCTAGTAAACGTTTGATCCATGGAGGCCCCGCCTTGTAACTTACAGGACTTAAAGGATCTGCTACTGAAGGCTTGGTGCCAGATACCACAGCATATCTTCAAAGGTCTAGTGGAGTCCATGCCATGACAAGTCAAGGCTGTTTAGGGGCAACAGATGAACCTGCTCAATATTAGGTGGGTCATCATAACATTATGGCTGATACATACCATGATCCAGGAACAGGTCACGAAAAACTGGAACATGGGGTCTTCCAGAAAATTTGTCAGCATGGTTAACCAGAGCCTCTTTCACAGTCTTATAGCCACACAGCACAACCATATTCTGAGATCCCATCTGTAGGCTGTACACAGAGCCATATTTCTCAGCAAGCTAATAAAAAAAAAGTGGTTATAAAATTTAAAATGTAGAACTGTATCATGTATATTGACACAAAGATCTTATTCACTGAAAAATTAAATATTTAACGCTCAACTCTGTTTGTTTAACTGTATCTTTAGTAAACACCCGAGTCATAGATAGCAGAACTGCTTCAATGTTGCTGCAGCCAGCCACAGAACAAGTTCAGAAGTACCAGTGCCAGGGACATATTTACAAATCATCAGTCCACATGGCGAAATTAGGAAATCCCCCTTCCAATGAAATCTTTGAAGCACCTAATATTATTTTGCCAACTCTTTTAAACAGGCCCCATTACTACTTATGGTCTGCTGTCTATATAGCCAACAATTTTTACCTTATATTTACTGGGGTTCTGTGCATCCCTTCTATTTTCACCACTTTTGCACTGATGGTCAGACAGCCCCCTTAGTGTACACTGGTGGACAGGGCAAGATTTCCTGTTAACACCTCTTGGTCAATACAAGTGCCTTCTTTATATTAGTGGTCAGTATAAATAACCCCTTACATTAGTGGCAAGAGGAGCAGTGCTTCTTTATATTGGTGGTTGGTGAAGCAGTGGCCTGGGACACTTTAAATTCGTGCTCAGTGGGAGAAAAAAGACCCTACTTACATTAACAGTCAGTGGGAGAAAACACTTCTGGTAGTTACACCAGCAGCCAAGAGCTTAGTGGTAGTAAACCCACTTTGTTCATTTTTACCTACATGCACTCTTTAGGAAATATTCAGGTTTTCTTTAACCCTTTGAGGACCAAGGGACGTATTTGTCCCATGTTTGTAATTGCGTGTATCATCTGATTAAGAACTTAATGCTTTTTTTTGGTTTGAGTCAAAATATTAGTTCTTATCAACAAACAAATGGATCTAGCTTTTTGCCAATTATTTCATGAAATGGCTTAGTTACAGCAACTGAAGTGTATGAACTTTAAAAACAAAAAAAATGGATTCTTTTGGCGTTCCAAAACCTTACGGTCCTCAAAGGGTTAACTGGCGCATGTGCTCTGAAGTAACAGCATACCCAGTGCCATATCTTCAGAGCACTGCTGTGGCCCGTGCAGATGTGCGGGAGTGACGTCATCATGGCTCAGCCAGTCAGACGACCGGAGCTCGTGAACCCGGAAGGAGGACCATGTGAAGATGGAGACCTTTCCAGCGTGACAGTGCGCCGCTGGAGGACTTCGTTTTAAGGCACGTTTTACATAATGTGCTAGTATGTGATACCATTGCCTTGCAGAGAAAATGTTTGTTTTACTCCTGCAGAGTAATCATGTAATCTGTCTACTCGTAGCTCGAAAAGGCAGGCATTTACACAATGACAGCAAGAATCAGTTAACTACTAGAGAAAAAAAAAAAAAAATAAAGAAGTTTAGCAGTTTCGGTTGTTTTAATACTTTCTACTGCTTTTAAAAAAATGTTGAAGTTGCATAGCCTGTCTTGCCTAAGGCACAGGATAGTCTGATCTTTACTGCACTACACTCAACACCAAATATTTGCAACAAAGAGCACACAAAGCAAGTAGGAATGTTCCAAAGATGAATTAAACAAGTGCATCAATTATATTCCATTATGTAGCAAACAAAAAAAAAACTAAAATAAAAAGCTTATGTGGCTAAATTCTAGTATTAAAAAGAAAAAAAAATAGGCCCTGAACTAGAAAAATCTAATCTCTCAGTTCCCCATAAAGTTCCACCCACCCCTACTGTGAAACTTCTTGGTTATGTGCCTACCAATGTGATGGCTGCAGTAGCCTGGTGGAAGGGAGTGCACAGAGGAGGAGAGTGTCCAGCACTGCAAGATTCAAATACCTATCTGACAGGTAAATGAATCGGGTGCCAACACCAACACTACGACACCCTTTATGAATCCCCTGGTACAGTATATTCCTCATGATGAAACGGTTCTTCCTGAGCTGGATTCTACACATACACTTTGACCACTCACTTGAAAGTCTAAGATCTTACCTCATGAAATGTTAGGTAAGGTTTATTCAGATTCATAATGTGTATATTTCCAATAATAGGCAAGCATGGTGGTCCAGGAGGATAATTTAAATGGACTTTTTTCTTCTGACTGAATGACAAAATTACCAACAAAACACAGGTGACAATAAAGAGAATAGTAGCTGCATCTGTGAAATACATGTCTGTAGCAAAACCTGGAGAAACAATAGAAAAGAAAATCATAAAATAAACTTAACAAAACCAAAAGCAAAGTAAGGAAATCAGAGGGGCTGAGAAGATACGCTTTGTATCAGTTATAGTGGATGTGTTCCTTGGCTCACTATACCAATCATAAGTGATATGCTAGGAAAATATATCAAGGATGACACTTTTTATTATGGATATGTGGAGTGGCGCTGAAACTTGTAGGAGAGGGCCTTCTGTGCCTACATACTCCTTGAGGGACCCTAGAGTTGTTGGTCCCTTTGAGGTGTGGTGGCTGTAGCAGAGGTTGAGGGATGCCATAAAGGAAAGTCTCCAAAGTCTTCAGTCATTAGAAATCTTGAGTTAATTTGAAAGTATATGTATATAACATAGTCAGCATGTTTCAGGGGTTTGACCCCCTTCTTCAGACCTCAAAGCTTTGAACTGTAAATCATTGCATGTGTATAGGGAGGATTGTACCTCCTGCTCAAGTTCCTCTATTTTTTAAAGGAAACTAACAATTACCTGCAGACAAGTTATGACTTCAAACTATACTTAGGCTACATGTACATGAGCCTACCCTGACCACCAGGTGCGTGGAAACGCAAATCGCAGCAAAACATGGCACCACGATTTTGCAGCGTTTTCCCGCAGTCGGCAGTCAAAACGTTCCTATCCTGAGCGTGAATCTTCTGCGTTCAGGAGAGGGAGGCTTAACCTCACCTAAAACGCGGCAGCTCCTAAACTCTGCTAAAAGCCTGTGTGTACATGGACACATAGGCTTTTATGGAGTTGAGTTTAGGAGCTTTGGCAAAAAAAATGCCAAAAGCTCCTAAACTCAAGTTTAGGAGCTTTTAGCCAAAGCTAAACTCGTGTACATGAAGCCTTATTGTTGCACATAGGTGTATGGGAAATACAGTGTCCGCCTTCAATATATTCCACTTTTCATAGAGTTCTTCTCTGCTTATATAGCCTCTTATCAAAACAACAGACAACATGAAAAGACCAGGGCGGACATTCCACCTAAAATGTTAGACAAGCCTGCTGGCACAGTTACAATCTAGATACGTGTGTTATTTGCAGTAAACAGCTTTAACCTCCCTAGCAGTCTGATTATGTCCATATTTCTGTGCTCAAAGCAGTACTTTTTTTGCATGGAAATATGTATGTATTTTTTATATTGTAGGTCTGTAATTTTTAGGAATAACTCACTGAAATCTGTTCGAACAAGAGTCTAGTAAACATCTCAGGGTATGTTAAAAGTTTAAACATGAAATCATAAATTATAATGTAATAATCATAAAAATAATATAATACATTTAATTCAATATAAATCAAACCAAACACACTGAAATTTGAAATAGAGCGCCAAGTTTGCTCATCACTGAGCTTAGTCGCAAAATCCTCTTCAGTGTCTGATGACAAAATTTCCCCACGAATCATTCACTCAATTCTGCAAGTAGTTCTAATTTACTATCGCTGTTCTCTAGCTGGTCTAAAACCGCTTTTGACCTAAAGGGATGCTTTTTGGACGCCATGGACTTCTCAGTTTTCAGGCAGAAAGAACAGTAAAAAATGCAGCAGGGGACAGGACAAAGCACTCGGGACAAATGTATGTGAAATGGTTTGATACAGTAATGTTTTACTATGCGATTTTAGTGAATCACTTTTACAACTTTCAAATTTCCCGCAAGTTCTGTCCTCGTATGTCCTGACGCCGCAGGGAACAGAACCCGGAAGACGGATGCTGGCATTGGCCGGAGGACATTCCCGGGGATGCTGCAGGGGGGACATTGTGGGAGCGCAGGACAAAAAGGTAATTAAGAAGAGATCCGGAACAACGCTGCAGGGTATTCCCGAGTGTAGCTCGGGATTACCGTTTGTGGTACTGAAACTTTACCCCGATCTACACTCAGAAATGCTTAACCGCCCTTGGCGGTAATTTCCAATGACAAAATGGAGTATACATAGCCATTTTATAATACTCTATATATGTGACTCAGTAAGGATCATATAGTTATCCCTATACACATGGTAATGGTTCATTGTGGAACCAAAATAGAATATCTTGGGAAAATTGGAACTCATTCTCTGTTATTGTGATTCGTTTCAACCCTGAAACAAAATGACTTTACTATGTACAATGGAAGAGATTTCTTAGCATTAGATTCTTAACATTTTGAGATTTTTCTTGATATTGCTTCTCACTCACTGCTACTGTAACTGACATGTTACTTTAGGAGAGTGTTTCCCAACCTTTTTTCAGTCAAGGCACCCATTATGGATACTCTCAAGGCACCCTTTTAGATTGGGGTGCAATGCGATTATGCACCCCAATTTTAAATGTAATAAACTATTCTACACATCCATGACACCCAACATTAGAGGTGAATTATTCTATACAATTTTGGGGCATTTTGTTGAGGCACCCCTGAAGAAGCCTGAAGGCACACCAGGGTCCTGGGCACCCTGTTTGAGAAAGGCTGCTTTAGGAGCACCTGACTCAGTTTTAATATTGTTTCCTTAATAAACATCTTACATGTGCAAGTTGGTGTGCTTTGGGTTGTTTTTCAAGTACAGGTGTACCTTGGATTACGAATTTAATGCGTTCTCCGGGACGTTTCATATTGCAAAAAATTTGTAAACCGAAACACGGTTGTTTTCCATAAACTGAAACAGATTTTGTTCATAGGAATGCATTGCAAAAACCAGTTACTGGCCGATAGCTCAGAGAGGTCAGCAAAAAAAAAAAAAAAAAAAAAAAAAAAAAGAAAGTTTCACTTTAGTTTATTTCTCCTAAAAGAAACAAGTTTCCTTTTAGTTTATTTCCCGAGATAAAAGAAATAAAATTTCCTTTAGCTGGGGGGAAAGTGACAGCTAATTCTGTGAGCTATAGTGAAGAAAAAAACCAAAAAGCCGGCAATTGCATTTAAAAATCGGCACCGACATACACTTCGTATTGAGAAAACAATTTGTTCAATGGCATTATTTTCATTCATAAACCAAAAATTACTTTAACAGAGGCATTCATAAACCGAGGTACACCTGTATATCTAAGCCAAAAAAGGAGAGAGTTAAAACCCCTTCTATTGGGGAAATTTCTCCTCACTTCCTGTCATATAGGCACAACAGGAAGTGAAAGGAAATCTCTCCAAAATGAGAAAAAAAAAATCCCCCAGCTGACATTACAGTTGATGTCCCTTTAGAATAATTACCCTCACCTCTTAATTTGGTGACAATTTTTAATTTTTGTTATCTTCAATGACTACCAATACATATAGAAAGGGTAGATCTCAGCTGGTACAATGACAGTCATAAAAATCTGATAGGAGTTCTAGGCCTTTACTGTGGCCCAATCTTTAAAAAAAAGGGTTGATAACCTAATCAAAATGCTGCACATATTGGCAGCACTATACAATGTACCAGTTGTTAGAGATTCTGTATATGGCCCTACAGAACAGAGTGCACAGTTCACATGTGCTTATCTGCTTGCTTCACTGCAAACAGGAAACTTTATTCAGAGAAGAGATAGAGCGTATACAGTACCATAGATGCTGCTACAAACGTATAAACACTGCCACCTACTGGTTGAAGAATATAGCCCTACTGAATATTGATGTAGTTGTTGCATAAAATACATGAACACTGTATTTCAACACCAATTAAGCAAATCTGTGTTGAGATCCAATCCAATGATCCAAACTCTGTTAAGATGTTCAAAATAAATCTTACAAGGCAAACCACTATAATGTTTTAAATCAATGTACTGGGACCTCTACTTCTTGAACACTCGCCAAATTTGTTATGACTTCCTAATACAGGTCAAGTCAGGTTGTCTCGTAGTGGGAAATCCAATAGGATCTTCAATTTCCCCCAGGCAGCAAAAATAGATTTTTCCCAGTGTTCTTAATTATAGGGTTATCTAAGGAAAATGAACAGCTTGAAATAGTGATGTAACAATTGAACCAGATAAAAAAAAAAACCTATACAACTCTCCCTCCTTCACCCCCTGCTCTCCAACCACACTGGAGCAAGGAGACAAAAATAATTCATTCTGCCTAAGGCTGGCCATACATTGTAAAATTTTCCTTTAGATTTACCAAAACCAGATAACATGGTCAAAACAAAACACTTTTAATTTGTATGCAATCAGACAGGCCCTTGCATAATTGAAGGCATGGGCGTAGCATCAGGGGCCTCAGGGGTCACAATTGTGACCCCACTTATGCTCCAGGGGGGCCTATGCTGTTTCCCTGTCACTATGATGGGCAAGGCGGAATCCTGAGAAAGCAGAAGTTCTGAGCTTTTGGCTTCATTTTCATGTCCTGAGCCAGTGAGTAGCAGAGGAAGGACAGGGTGAAGCAGCCCTGCTGGCAACCAAACAGGGATGAACACCAAGTTGTCACTTGGCTGAGCAAGTGAGGAGGAGAGCACTGTACAGGAGTTGGTACTGCTGTCATGGGGGGAGCTAAAAAGATACAGATCGGATCTGTGCAGAGAACAGACACTCCCCACAACTCCTGCTGACATTCACACAAAAATTCTCACAAAATTCCGTGAGACCTTCTGAGGGGCCCCCAAGGGACTGGGGGCTCCAGAGTTCACTTTGGCAGTTTAAGTAGGATGATTTAGATGGGGAATCTGTCATTGTCAGCATGGGGGGGAAATAATGTGTGACATTACCAGGATGGTGGTATGGGGGGGGGATCAGTAATTCCCTGGGGGTCCGTGTGTGTTACTAGGAGGAGGGCATCTGAAGGTGGGGGTCATCTGTTATTACCTGGTGGGAGGAGGGGGTCATTAGCAGGAGGGGAAGTCGTCTGTACAGGAGGTGGAGATAATCTATGATTAACTGAAGTGGGGGGGGCTCTTGAAGGAGGGGCCATCTGTCAATACCAACAGGAGGCAGGAAGGTATGTGTCATTACCAGGAAGGGGGGGGGGATGTTACTTTCCCTAGTATCCTTTACTTCCATATCCTGCAGCCTGGCCATGAGA